CAGGCTTTTCTCCCGGACAGTGAAGGATTGGACGGGTCTCAAAAGTGCCCCCAGCAACTTCACATCATGGGTTTCAAAGCTGGGTTGCCTGGATTCCTTCGTTCTCAGCTTGGTTGCCAGGGTAGAAGTGTGGCTCGCTGTTTGCTTGGTTGGTTTTTCTGGCCGGCTTGGTGGCTTTGGACATCAGTATTCAGCGCATGTCTTACTGTGCCTCTCTCAGCCAGAACAAAGGGCTGATCATTGATGCTAGGCAGCAGGCACGGGGATTCACCCATCTGAAACAGACCACAGGGCTGGATGTGCGTGCCCTTCTTCAGACTTGGTGTCTCAGTGTCCCAGTGTTTGCTTGTTTACTGTGCCATGAAATGGATGGAGTGTGTATTATTGTGCAAGCAGAGCAATGCAAATGCCCTCCCGGGGAAGGGGAAGACGTATTCTGTTAAAGCAGGCGCTGTTGCTGAGTGAATCCAGTGCAGTGTTGCATGTCACACTCGGCACAACATTCTGATTCTTTTTAGTGCAGTTTCAGCACACATGAAAATAAACAAACAAGCAGAACTGTGTCCTGCAAAATCTAAGGCAGTTCATCTTAACTCAGTTCATCCACTTGTCAAACTTTCCAGGTTTAGGGCAAACAATTGCACACGTCTTGAATTAGTCATAGAAGAAGACGAGGAAATGAACGGCAACCGTCGAAAACATATGCGACCTTTTCTCACAGAACATTTTCTCAGAATATTTTCTTATTTTATGTCTTAAATACCTAGAAATAATCATGTGCAGGAGTTACTAGAACTATGAATCACATTTTCAAGTGTTAAAGGTCAGAAATAGCTGCAGCTGACCTTTAACACCTTTAACATTATTAACAGTATCTCATCCATCCTAACTCAACTACCTTCTATTAATAATAATGAAGAGAAGGCAGGAACTGTCCACTAAGTAACACTTATTTCCTAGCTATGGTCATTTATCTTGTATGTGTAAACAAAAGCAGTATTTGTTATCTTTACACAAGGGGCAGCTGTAATATATATTATCATGCACATGAAAAATTAAGCTCTTAAATAATCTTTATTTAACAAAGGGGGAAATTCTCTCCCTCTCCCTCTGAGTCTTTCATTGAAAGCCTTCACCATAGACTTCCTAATCACATATGTCAGATGGAAGAAAGCAGCCATTCATCACTGACAATAGGGATTTTATGGCTCCCTCAGTCGTCTTGAACTGGTGACACCGAGCTACCCAGCAACCATTTCCTTGTCGTTGACTTTTGTTTTTGTGAAAACTTGAATATCCCCTTGACCTGTGAGCATTTTGTTAACCACCTGTCACCCCGAGGGACGTAGACTGAGAGTTCAGACAGCAGTCTTTCTGAGAAGACGATTTTTATTTTCTGTGTTTTTCCTACTTGACTACAGTCTCTGCCTGCACAAGTCAGAAAATATTATACATTTGGTGTTTTTGCAGCTGGTGGTAGATCCAAATGATTGTTGTTTGTAATTGCTTTGCACCTTAGTGAAAAAGCATTTTTTTCACTTTCGTGCTTTCAGCCACGTTAGCATTCATATCAATGATTGGTTCAGAGTTTGTCACATTGAATATCTTTTTCAGTGTAATTTAATAACAGGTTGTTTTTCTTTGAAAAACTATTCAAATGTGATTTTTTTTTTCAGCTGTATGATGTGTTTGGCTGAAACCCTGTCTGTATTTTATTAATAGAGAAACATGTTTTGTCTATGGTGGGAAGAGGAATAATGCTAGAAGTTATTAATGATTTGACACAAACCCATGGGAAGAAACATGAGACAAAAGTGTGCCTTAAACAGTGAGGGGGCTACCCCAGTGTCCCTGTGGGCAGTCTATAAATACCACTGCGTTTCTTTCAGATATTAAAGCTGGGCGATGACATGTAGTTGGCGGATGTTTGATGACTTTCTCTCGTCTAACAAATGGAAATCTTTATAAGCCTGGTATTTTAAAGAGACGATTTTCTCGTCTGGCTCCAATATCCTGAACGAGCACTTTGTTCTTTTGTCACCCACGGTGGAATCAATGTGAATATTATTATCTCGTATACTCTTGTCTGTAGTGACTTGTGCTTCATTTCCAACTCTTTAAATTAGACTCAGATGTTCGCTGTGCTCCTTTGATTTATTTTCTGATGTCTTTCTCGACGGAACCGTTCTGACATGAATGTCGTTCATCCCTGTCGGCCTCTCTGCTTTCCTTGTCATCAACAGATTTAGAAAGACACTGCATATTCTTTTGGCTTTTCCTTCAGATTTTGGAGGACCGTTAATGATATTCATTGAGTCGTTGTCAGAGTAGGTGTCCGTTGACCTGTCCTTGACATTCAATCTCTTCTCAAACATCACTCTCATCTCCTATGTATGTGTGTGACTGACATCCACGGTCAATCAATTTTCAATTTTAAATCTAGCCTGTCATCATGTCATCACTGGAAAAGGTGATTTTTAACCTGAATATAAAATGGAACGGTACACGTCCACCGCCTTCAGGGGTGGGAAGGTTACTAACCATGTGATTATTTTGTAGCTGAGGAGATAATGCAAAATAATCAATGTGTCTCTCTTTGAATAAAACTCACCCTAAGATTAGAGCTTTTACTTTTTGTGATGCAGACATTTGACAAATTACAGACAGTGATGCACTGACTCAGATTAGGAAATGCCTTTTTGGGGCTCAGTCCTGGTAATGTATAAATTAAATTAATATTCAAAATCTAAAAAAATAAAACCATGAGGCTATATACAGCAGACAACCTTATACTCAAAATAATTACATACTGTCTTCCTGATAAAAGATACCACTACATTACATGTTACTGCCATACATAGTATGTCAGAGAAATAGACTGTAACACAGGGATGTGGTTTTGGTTTGGTGAAGCCGTGGAGAAATTCAAGCTGGCAGCATGAAGTAGACAATCATGAAACAGTAATGGGAGATAGAAAAAGAAAACCGGGGCTGCTCTTGTTAGCAGTGACATTTTCACCCACAGTCCTCTGGGAGTCAGCGGTACAAGATGGCAGTCAGGGGTGGAATGTGCTCTCAGCTGGAAGAGGTCCGACTGGCTGCCAGCTCTACTGAGAACCGGGCTGGTCCAACCACAGACGCTCAGTCTTTCTTTCCAACTGGTCTCATGGCTTGGGGAGAAATGATGTCTGATTGTAATGAAGACATTGAAAAAAAATGGAATGCTGATCACTACAGTACTGCTGTGGTGAGGTGAGGTCATAGTGAACTAACAGCAAGTGCAGCGATACATACTTTATCTTTAGCGGTAAAATCCAGAGAGTTTAAAGAGAAAAATCTGTAAAAAAAAAAAAAAAGCTGTATTTGAGACTCGGGTCGTTTTGTGTAACATATAAGGAAGAGCCATTCTGAGCAGTGAACCTCATGTATTGCGACTCCGGAAGCCAAGGCCATAAACACAGTGGGCTTTTAACTGGCATTGGCTTTTGTCTGTACTTTGCTGCCAAAAAATCTAGTGTGGTTTCAAAGCCATATATAATGTATCTGACCTCACTGACTCCCTTGTGGTATGCAATGGAAAAACACCACACTTATCTTCGAAACAGTTTTGAGAGTGTATGCACCAATGTACTAAACATATGATAAATTTGCAGTGGAATCAGGATCCCACTTGACAAATGGACCACAGGAGATAAACAGCCGTCTCTGGATCTTAGGAGGTGTGGGATACCAGCTGGCAGCCTGGCAGAGGCCTTGAGTTTCTGCTCACTTGGGGTGGTACAAGCTTAATCATCTGCGTGCCGACATCTGAGGCATTTCTATAATCCCACAGATGTTTATTTTGGTGCCCTGTTTAACTCCCCGAGGACAGGTACTGCCCACCCCACCTTCCTCAGATCCTTCACAGAAGATGTTCTGGTTCTATTCACACTCCTCAGAGACGGGGCCGGGAGGAAGAGAGAGAGAGATCAGTATATTATTTGAATACGGCCACAGTTTCTGCTGCACCACACCAAAGTCCCTATGAGTTTTGTGGAGTTGAGAGATGGCAGTGGTTCAACAGCCTTTGCCAAAATAAAGTGTTACGCTCAAAAGCTTCAGAACAGCTGAGGAGGCACTTTATTAGTTTCAAGGTAATTGTTTTAGTCCAAGTCTTTTCTAATAGTTTTTTTGTACATTTCATCCATTACAGTATTTTCCTGATATGTTTAAAGCATCGTTTTTAGAGTCAGGCTCCAAAATTAGATCTACTCTCTAATTAGAAACTAACTAATGACAAACTGATTATGTGGGTTAATTATGACCGCTGTAGAGAACACAGCACTGCATCTGGCTCACTGTCGCACATCATGTCTCATTTTCCGTTTCTTTAATTATAACACCTCTGTCCTAGTGGTCCTGTTGTGGGGTCTGAATCCATCTAGGTTTTTTTCGGCACCATCGTCACCGATTCCACGTAGCTTAGCAAGAATGAAATAAAACCATTTCCCAGCTTAACAGAAATAGCCGTGCAAGTTCCAAGTTGAAAAAAAAACAAACATTTTATATTAAAGTAAATTTTCCACTTATATTCAAGTTTAGTTGAATCACTTCTGCAGGTATGTGTCATTGGAGAAAACAGTGTTGATGGTAGAATTCAAGGCTTTCATACCAGGTCAAGGCCTGAAATAAAGTTCTTTCTAAATGATTTTCTACCTTGGTTCTGTTGCAAAACCTTAATTATTTTTTACAGGTTTTTATCTAAATGTGGTTACTTTTGTGTTCATTTCAAAATTGTACATTTCTGAATGTTAAGAAACCCCAATTTAATTAAATGCAACACAGTTCATGGCAGGACAGAGCCCTTAGTCATTGAACTCAGAGACATTTTCAGGGTGTTATTAAAAACATCTGTCTGAGAACATTTTACCCTCACCTCCATTAAACCTGTGGCAGTTACGATGTGTTTTTGTAGGTTCGCTATCAATTTTCTAACGTTGAATTAATTTGTTTTTTCACAGTCGTGCAATCAAGACCAATCAGGACCTTCTCCCAGAGACTCCGTGGACAAATATCTTCTACGATGACTTCTGGGGGACGTTGCTCACGCACAGCGGCAGTCACAAGTCTTTTCGGCCTCTGTGCACCCTCTCCTTCCGTCTCAACTATGCTGTGGGAGGCCTGGAGCCCTTGGGTTACCACCTGGTGAATGCAGCCTTCCACGGGGCTGTGACCGTCTTGTTCACCTCGTTGGCACGTCTGCTGCTCGGAGGAGGCCTGTGGAGCCTGCTGGCTGGCCTGCTTTTCGCTTCTCACCCCATCCACACAGAGGCAGTGGCAGGAGTGGTGGGCCGGGCAGATGAAGGGGCCGCTCTGTTCTTTCTGCTGTCTCTACTCTCTTATATACATCACTGTAGACTGAGAGGACGCGTCGGAGGAGGCGGGTGGAGCCTGCTGGCTGGCCGGCTTTGCGCTTCTCACCCCATCCACACAGAGGCAGTGGCAGGAGTGGTGGGCCGGGCAGATGAAGGGGCCGCTCTGTTCTTTCTGCTGTCTCTACTCTCTTATATACATCACTGTAGACTGAGAGGACACACTGGGTCGTGGCGGGTCACGGCCTGGTTCATCTGCAGCCTGGGCTGCGCTGCGTGCAGCATGCTGTGGAAGGAGCTGGGGGTCACGGTCCTGGCTGTGTCGGCGCTGTATGACATCTGCGTTTTCCACAGACTGAAATTACAGCAGGTCATCGAGCTCCTTTACAAGGTAAACTTTTCTTTTTCTTTGGGCTGTTCTGATTTTTCTTGTCTTTGAGTCCATGCAATGAATGCATTTTATGTACAATACACTGGTTGATGCTAGGTTTTGGTGTTTACCAATCAAAACAGAGAGATGCTTTTATCTAATTTGTTTTTAATTTAGACTTAATAGATTTTTAATGCATTAAGTTTGATTTCTAAAAGTTTTGATTTCTAAAATAAGAAAACTGACGATTAATATACCTCATTACTTCCTTTTCTTTCTTTTATCCTTTACTGTTATCTTTTGCAGCAGTCACAGTGAGGTGACATAAAGCATGTCACCCATGTTTCACAAGCAGTCACAGTGAGGTGACATAAAGCAGTTTCACGGTAGCACTGGATCACACTTCACCTTAGAAAGAAAAGGAAATGAAACTATTTTCAAATATAATCAATGAAGAAAGTAGAGTTTTTCTCTAGAGGCGTCTGTCAGAAGTGTTGTCTGTGTCCTTTATATCTCTGTCAGTATCTGTGTCTGAAGCAGCCAATTAGGTTAGTTGAATGGAAGTAAAAGGTGACGTTTGAAATGAAGACAGATGAGAGAAAATCGTTGTAGTGAAGTGCGTATCTAGCGCCATCTCTTCTATAGTGATCGGCCTGGTGTTGTAATGAAGATGGAGAACTGGCTCCTGCTGGAACTGGCTTCTCCACACTGTCCTCGTGATTTAAACCTTATCTGACTTCCTGTGTCCTCTGGAGTACATCCCATCCTGCCGGCAGACGGGCCTTCTAATGACTTGTCAGACATGGCTATAGTAGAAGAAACAGGGCCAAGGGGGGCTGGAGTAGAGCATGACTCAGAGCAGTTTCATTTCAACTTTTTGATTGAAAATCCACCAACACGACTCAGACATCTTTAAAAAGAGATACGTGTGTGGTTAGAGCCCAGGAGTGGAAGTGCTCCTTCAAATTACTTCCATGGTTTTCCAAACATTTCACAGCAGCCCAGCTGTTGGTGAACATTTTGTGGTAAAAATGTTAAAAAGTTGAATTCATATTTTTAAATTCAAAGAATGTATTTGGTCCAAGACATGTTTTTTATTGAATAGTATTGAATAGAAGAGTAGTTTGTTTTAAAAAAAGAATTTGGATTACAATAACATTACTATTGCATTTTTATTATTACTTGGGAACATATATTTGCTGTTTGTGTGTGTCCATCAGCTTTATCTTCAACATTCAAGATCTACTTTGTCCATTTTACCCTTCTAAGCATATGGCCATGCTGATCATTCCCGGAACATTTCCATACAAAATACAGACCTAATGTTTATTTGTGACTTGAAAGATAGATATTATTATCTTATTTAATCTACCTATTATTCCACAAAAAATTATCAGATAATTTTTTGTGTGAAAATATTCCATTTATTCATTTGGGATAATGTTCAATGCATATCCAATAATTCCAATTTCCTTTCACTTGTTGCTATAAACAATTAGATTTAAACATGGTTTTTGCAGTCACTGTAGGAAAACTTCACAGGATTCATTAAAAATATAAAAATATATATCCACAAAAAATTATCAGATAATTTTTTATCTGATAAAAATTATCAGATAATTTTTTGTGTGAAAATATTCCATTTATTCATTTGGGATAATGTTCAATGCATATCCAATAATTCCAATTTCCTTTCACTTGTTGCTATAAACAATTAGATTTAAACATGGTTTTTGCAGTCACTGTAGGAAAACTTCACAGGATTCATTAAAAATATAAAAAAAAATATTTTGAGCACTATATAAAAAGTGAAAATAGGATGTGTATTTATGCCAAGAAGCTATTAAAACCACCATCATTGCACATTTGCTGATGATGGTGTTATTACTGTGCACCCAAGGCGTCCAACTATCCTATTTTATTGTTATGATAGAGCGCAAGACAGTAGTTTGTTTTCAGACTGATTTGTATCACTGTCTTGATCCGATGTCTTTTCCTCATGGCCAATAACTAATGTAGAACGCACACCCATCCCTGTGTCTGTATAAAGCAGCACTTAGTTTGACTAATGAAGAGCAGAGGGAGTCATTACTCAAGGCAAGTTTAGCCTTTGACTGGTTGAATGAACAGCACTTCTTTATGGAGCTAAAATGATTCCAGAGAAAATAAATAGACTCCTGAGATCTGTCAGGTGCTGAAAACTTGGCCACTTTGTCTCCCAGTCATTTTCATCAAGTCAAAAGAAGCTGCGATACAATCACTGCATGCATTTTTTTCCCAAAGATTAGTGACAGGTGTATCAGCTTTTTGTTTGTATTGGAACATCTGTTGATCCAGTTGATCTCAAGAGACAAACTTTTTGCACGACAGATTGGTCGTCGATTACTTGCCCAGTAATTTAATTTGATGTAATTATATTGCGTTCAAGTTTTATATTAGCTGCCAAACTCTTTCTCCTTTTACCGTTTCCATGTGCACCGAGAAGTAAATATGCCTGAGTGCATGACTGTGATCTGTGCATGCAAATCAGGCAATGCATGCATCATTTGTAATTGTATTTTATATACAGTGTCTGGATATAAATTGGTAAATTAGTTCGACTGATCCCAGGCTCAGCTGATCCTGAAAATCTGCATAATTTTTGAAGGATTCGAGCGAGAATAAAACGGACATTATACGTTAAACGGAATCTATGTAATTGAGTCATGGCGAATTGTCCAATTAAATAGACCATAACTCATTTATGTAGTGTGCATGTGTCTCTTCCTGCAGGCTCAGTCTGTGCAGTGTCACCATTGCAGCCTTTATGGATCTGCTGCTTCCATTCATTAACTTTGATTGTCCCGGGTCAATGCAAAAATCTCGTAAAAGAGACGTGAAACAGCAGCTAATTTCATACGCTCCAGTAGGATATCAGCGATTTGCTACGGTCCGCAGCACTCTAAAGTGAAGAGCGGCGCCGAAAGAATGCAGTGCATGGAAAATGAGGAAGGGGTTTAATGGTCACTGTCACTCCAATCGAGTGACAGTTAAAATACAATCAAATGAACAGTATGGCAAAATATAACAGATAATAAACAGATATAAGGTATATAAAAGTACACTCAACACAAAAAAGATGCCACCAAACAAGTATGTTTCTTTAAGCTTTTTCTCTTTTTTCAATACAATATATGACTTGCCCCAAATTTTATTAATCTCTGGAAATATGTATGACAATCCTGATTTTCCAATGACCTAAAACGTTGAAGAATTAATGGAAAATAAGTAATAATACATAAACTTGGTGTACGTCTGCATTAAGTAGCAATATCACCAAACATCCAGTATATACTTTTCAACAGGCTGTGCTGCCTACTTTTCCTGCTTCCTGTCATTAGTAAATATGTTCAGTGTCAAACGTACCAACACTTTCACTGTTGACAGCTGGTGCCAGTGTCCGTCTGCAGCACGCAACGTGTTTGTAATTAGTTCTTTCCGAGTTGTGTGCAGGTTTTTAAAACCCTCATTAAATTGTTTACCCAGGCCGACCTTTACGATGGTGATATTCAACAGTTGCCTTTGTGTCTGATTAAGGCATTTATGGCCATGTGTTCTTATGCAACCAGCCACTCACGGGCAATGACTTTATGGCCTTTAGATGTAACCAAGTTGGCCTCGGTGAGTGTGTGCGGTACAGCCAATGTTTATGTGGAAAATGTGTTTTTTATGAGTTGATTCCTGCACGGCAGACACTTAATTTCAACAAGAGATACTAAAACACAATTTGAACCCTGAGCTGGTAAAAGAAAGGACTCTTTATTTATTTAATTATAAATGTATTTACTTAGATATTGAACCTATTTCTATGTATTGTCAACATTGAAAAAGGTGAATCAAATTGCAGGAAATGATAGGAAATACAAATGTGACGGTAGGATTTTTTAGTCTTATTTTAGTAACCAAATGAGTTGGCTTTCACCAGGAGCTACCAGAGACAGCCCGCGTTGTTATTTGGCACAGTTTTTACAGAATGTTGTTTTTCCTTCCTAATGCCACCTACCTTGGGATCGGGACCATGGGGTGGAACTAAACCTGGAGCTTTCAGCTAACCCTGACAAGCAGGAATCTTACCCCTGCTCCAGCTTCCTTCTGACAATAGAAATATTCAATAGAATAATACTAAAATAGCATAATGTACCACAGTCAATACAAGGGTTTCATATTTAAATTGTGAGTAAATTGCGACTAGAAAATAATTGTATTTCATTACATACTGTGGCTCTGTAGTATTTTTCAAATGCAAATATGTGTCGGAGAAAAGAATCCAAATCATTCTATTAAACTATCCCTGTAATTATTTCACTTTGTTTCACTGCTGACCTTCTTTAACTGTGATGTTTATGTGTAAGTGAAATACTTTGACACTGAAAAAAAATGAAGCCACTGTTTACATGGAAGTTCACATGAGCCACTGTCCCTGAGGGCTTTACTGCAGTAATGACCATAACAAGAAGGGACGTTTGAAAACACGGTACAGAAACCCGATGCTTTGAAATGAAATACTGATGGAAGACTTTGTCTCTCAGTGATGTCATGTTGATGGCCTGCAACCAGCAGTACCTCCTGAACAAACCATGGCTGAAATATGTCTTCAGAGCAACACGAGAGCTTTTTTAAAGCCTAACCTTTGGTTCAAATTCATCATCAGACAACACAAAAACTGGAAACTGATTTCCAAATCTGGGACAGGACCCAGTTGGTCCTCAGTAAATGTCAGACCTGCTCACTTTATCTTTTCACACCTCCCACTTTCTGTTTACACTTGGGCTATTAGAGCAAGGTCATTGCTGAAGGCATGCTTGTGTAATACGTCTGGAGGGACAGTGTGAGCTCAGGTGTTGTGGTACTAGTGAGGCCAGTGACCTCTGACCTCAGAGATGTAAGAGACGGAGCAGAGTTAGTCATAGAACAGGGCACTCCTCAAAGCATGTGTGTACATGCAGTACATGTCCACATGCAGTGGGGTATATGTAGGTCCT